AGGGCTGCTGACGCTGACTGTTGGGACAGGTTTGGGGATGAGTGCCAAACATTAACACAGGATGTTGTCTTTCTCTATTGTGCAGTACACCAGTCTATATTGTGCAGACTTGACCATGTCAGTGTGACTCGGACCAGGGTTTTTGACAAGAACCATCGCAGATTTTGTCGACATTGATGAGCGACGAGTGGAGCGCTTGCATCAACTTAATCCCCTGTTGACGTGTCTCTTGATCGGTGAACAATGGTTGACAACCGCTACGCTACAGCTCTGGTCATCGCCTGTGTGCTGAGCATACTGGCCACTGTGTATCTGTCGGTGGCCGTCGGGACGCAGCACTGGTACCAGTACAGCAGCCCCACCGTCCGAGGAGAGGCCAATGTGTCTGAGCTGCGCTCCCTGTACGAGGAGTTCATGGATGGGGAGTTTGATGAGAAAACCTACAGCGACACACTGTTCCGCCTCAATGGGACTGTGGGCCTGTGGTGGCGATGTGTGCTCGTCCCTGCCAACGCGAACTGGTACAAAGAAACAGGTATGTAGCCTATAAAACTGTCATAACCTGCCCAATTACACTGCTCTGTCACTTCTTCTACAGGCGCATGAGTAATCCAAACTGTAAACAAGTGTTTTCAGAATGAGCCACACCTTGTCTCAGGTGGATGCCAATCAGATGTGGCTCATTCATTCCGCAGATATAATCTGTAAAGCAGGAAGTTTTAACGCTTGGGCTACTGGTGCTATTAGCTCTACTGTGGCTCTTATGTACTGCGGATTAATTCTGTTTATTTTGATTGATCACCACTAAAGCAGCATCATCAAGCCTACGTCACGTTGTCCGTCATACATGTTGTTCTTAAGGCTCCTGTGAGGAGATTTCAGCTGGTTATGAGTCAGAGTTAAATTTAATTCCGAAGATTCTTTATAACCTACAAAAGCAAACAGGACCATCAGCTGTTTCTTTGATTATATTCACTCCTGGAATTGCTTGGGGAAGGTGTCAGATGAAGGGATTCATTTCACTTAAAGTTTTTGTTTGTTTTTTTTACATTTCATTTCAACATGTTCCCCACTTGAGATTTCCAAAATCACAAACATATGGTTGGCTATTTGCCCAATCAGAGGCGGGATTTATGTTAAAATCAACTATTTGGGCTGTGTTACAAGAAGCAGCTAGTAGCCTTCTTTAAATTTCGTTCAAGTCCCGGCACGGACCATTTGGTAATTGGTCCGGAAATTGGTCTGGTAGCTGGAGAGGTGCCAGTCCACTTCCTGAGCACTGCTGAGGTGCCCTTGAGCAAGGCACCTAACCCCTATGTTGCCTATGTTTGTGTAGCATGTTAACTAGACAGGGTGTTAAAAAACGAATTTCCCTTTGCAGGATCAATAAAGTATCAATTATTATTATTATTATTATTATTATTATTATTATAATTTCTGTGTGATCTTGTGGTCCCTAAAGATCACAGAGTCGGATTAAACTGAGAAGATTTATATCAAGCCACTCTGTTGTGTGACGTTTTAAAGTTTAAAAAATGTAGCCTATAGGCCTACATATTAACAAGATTAAAAAAAAAAAATATATATATATATACGATATAAGAATTAAAGTAAAATATATACAGTCATCGTTTATACAGTTATCTGATTTGACATCTTTTAACTATTAGGCTATATCATGAGTAGTTAAAGTTGATATGACGCTGTTGATAGAAAGCGGAAATAATTGCTATTCCTCTGGGTGTTTGCACACACACATTATAGTGAAATGAAAAGGATGTTTTCACGATCTTAATGGTATTTTTATTTAAGTTAAACTGGGCCCTGTCAGTCACAAATTTGATTTGGTTGGGGGGGGAGGGAGGTCACGGACATTTTCCCCCATTCAAGGAAGGGCATGACAGAATTAAGGGCCCTTAAGTTTGAGAAGCACTGACTTGAATCATCTGCTGCAGTTGTTCCACTGAATGAGAAAAACTTCAAGAATCTAGCCCAAAAAAATATTTTAAAATACTTTTTCATCTAAAGTGATTTAAAGTAGCTGGATGAATACAATACTCAGACACAGGGTCTTTGTGTTAATTTCGTCGTTCAGATGCAAAGATGGCGCTGGAGTGTCGAAGCTTCAGCCTAACTCAGCAGTTCACTCCCAAATATAAAGAACCCGGAAACCACAACAGTGGAGAGGACATGCTGCGCACATGTAAGTCTTTTCACAACAGGTTAACCCTTATTCTAATAATAAAGCTTTGTGTAAAATCTGTAACAGATTCAGCCTCTTCTCTGCCTAATACAATATGTATGAACAATATGTGATATTGAATAATACATGGTCCCTAATAAGGGCAGTTTCTTCTGTCATGTTTAAAAGGAGGATTAAGATGAAGAAATCAATAGCTTTGATGCACACTCACTCATTACTTTCTTTGTCTGCATGTACGTAAAGACTTGTGGAGGTTCCAGTTTCTGCTGCCACTGGTGTCCCTGGGTTTGGTGGTGCTGGCGGGCCTGACTGGGTTCTGTGCCTGCCTCTGCCGAAGCCTCGCCCCCACCCTCGGCATAGGGATACTTCACCTGCTGGCTGGTAAGATCTGTACTGTTCAAGTCAATATGATGGTTTATCAAGCAACTACATCTAAGAATCAGTTTGCACCAACTCACAATTAAATACATTTAAAAAAAATCATGTGCAGTATGTAACACGTCAAAATCAGAGTGAAGTTTATTCCTCATGATCAATTTGTGCAGTAGCAAATAGGAAATCTTAATTTTGTGAGGGAAACTTTCGTGAATCTATTAGAAAACACCCTTTTTATTGAAAGAGGGCACTAAACTGTACAATTATGCTAGCTGTGCTGAGAGCCTAATTTGAGCTTCATGATAATGTCTGAAGACTTTCATGCTCACAGTGACCATGTTAACACACCATGGTGAGCAGATATAAAGTCTATAACAGGTTTAACATGAAATGTATGTTTCAAAACAATAATCTAAAGGAGTCCCCTGATTTTGTGCCCTGTAGGACTCTGCACCTTAGCCACAGTGTGCTGCTACCTGGCTGGGATGGACCTGCTCCACAGGGTGTCAATGCTGCCTGATAAGGTGGATGGCTCCCTAGGCTGGTCCCTCTACTTGGCCCTCATCTCCTCTCCGCTCCACATGATGGCCGCTGCACTGCTCGTGTGGGCGGCCCGCAGCCATAGTCAGAACTACTACCGCATGACCGCCTACAGGGTGGCATAGACTGCAATTCTGCAGTGAATCCCTGCTCTGATGAAATATGCCACCCAGACAACAAGATGCTTTTTTTTTTTTATAATGGTCTCAGAGGAATGGGATGTGGGTTAATCTATGCGTTTTGCCCTCTGATAGATTAAAGTACAGGCGCTCTATGGTTATGACCCTATCTGCTGCATTAAAAGATTAAGGAAGGGTTAAGGGTTATTGGAATTTTTTATCAAAAAGGTTGAGAAAGATGTTGACATTGCAGCATATGGTCAGAGAAACTTAACGGCAAGCTGAAAATGATAAGCTTATCTGAGTTCCATTATCAAAAAATTATTCCAAGTTCTGAATAAGGGGGGGTCACAATTGAAAAATAGTTTTTTCAAGAAAATAGTACCCTTTAGTTGATCACTAACAATTAGAAATACATTCAATCAGATGCCTAAAAGCTGTAAGAGGGCAAGAAACCTGAGAGGGTTGAATGATATAGCAAGGTTTAACTATTCCCATGGATAGCCAAACTTTTTAAAAAGAGAATATTAAGCTTACGATTAACAGGTTCAATGACCGATTGTACCCACAGCTGTTCACACACAGCATTCATGCGCCATGTGGAGTAATTATAGACAGTTCACGTGCTCCCATTCAATTTTACCTTGAATTGCTGTGAGGTGTGGTGACATTTCCCCTTTGTTCGATTATCAAAAACACCTTGCTGTACGAGTAAGATGTACTGGACACACCCTGAGCTTGTTTCTGTGAAACTGCAGCTATGTTAGTTCAAGTTTATTGCATAAGAGTGCTGTTGTGTAGTCAGTCTTTCACTTCAGCTGCTTGAAAACAAAGTCAGGGAAACAAGGCTTTAGTAAGGAGTACAGGGAGATTGGGCATTGATTGTTACTATACATGCTGTTATAATCGATCTGGTACACCCTTTTTTTAAGTAATGTTTATTTATTCATGCCATTATTCCGGTCAGACTTTGTTTATATATTTTTTTTTCAGCCATGGTATTGCTTTCTTTGTTATTTTCAAGCATATTTGTAACATTTTGATTAATTTTTTAGGCTTTTGTAGTTAAAAAAAAAAAAAAACCCAAAGGTGGACATTTTGTCAAAACTGTAGTGAACTTTCCTCGTTTTGTTGTCCTTACATACATTGGTTTCCTCATCCTTTGTTATCTCAGTTGTATTATTTATTTAATAAGTTCCTCTGTGTATTATTAATTTATGTCATTTCCATTCAACAGGATCTAAGGGAAAGCGTATTTCCCTGTAAGGCATTATGAATGTAATTCAAAGGCCATATGGTGATAAACTACAGTATTCTTTTGCACTTAAATTATTGTTGAACATATCCTGAATATTGCTGGAGTGATCAGTAGTGAATATATATTTTTTAGACAATGTATATGAAATAAAATAAAAATACATTTAGAAAAGAATCGCTTTAACCCTAAAAGCCATGCTATATGTCTGTAATATATTAAGCACCACCTTTCACGGTTTCAAAAAACTAAAGAATGTCTGCAAATGATGCACTGTGTGTGGTCTTATGGGTATTATGATGAACAAGATGTGTTTTGCATATTCAGTATTTTAATTCAAGAAATTGTTCTTTCCCTGAATCCTCTATAGTGTAAACACTAAATGACTGTAATTGTGTGAGTCAACAGTGGATGTGTTGTTCATTCTATGGACCTGAAACCATGACAAATTTCCACCTAAATATTATTTGTGTGAATGTACAGTATGCGAGTGTATTTATGATTAGTCCATCATCAGCTGTCGTTTCAATAAACGCTTTTTGTAAAATTGAATTCATGGTCACGTCAGTCTCATCATGTCAAGTCCATCCTCAATCTTCTTCCTCCGATGCAAAATTCTCTTCGTTAGCCTGTTGCTCCTCCTCTGTCTGCACCCGGATTGCAGGAATGATCACACGCCTTTTTCTTGCGAGGGAGAGAGCGATGCCCTTCTCATAATAAGCACATTCATTGATGAAGAAAGGATAAAGAGGTTCTTTTCCTTTATAACTCAGTGTTTCACCTGAGAATGTCTGGAACAACGGGTCTCCCGGGTGAAGCAGGCAGAAGTCTCTGTCCTGTGGGAAAGAAAAAACAATTATAGATTGAATGCTAAGTAGCGATAACAGTGAGCTTTACAATTTGTCTTTTAACCTCTACAGATTAGGTTTAACAGCAGCTTTGAGGTTTTAAACTAGTTTTGTTTGCATTTATTTTGTTCGGATTTTAAATGTTTAACCATTCACAATGAGGCCTATAGCCTATGTACCTAAATATATATCTCAAACAGGGCTAGCCTAAATTGTTATACTATTCTAAGCTAGCAATTGGAATATGTTCTATATTGCCCTCTGTTTGTTATGATAGCTATGCTAGCAATGAGGATAACATGGAGTATGTGTAAAGGCTTCCCTGTTTCTCCTACTCTTCCTGTTGAGCTTTAGATAATTGGGTAGTTGTTAAGTTATGAACCTTGACTGGAGACCAACATGTTAGCTAAACCCCTTGTCCCTAGTTCACCATTTAAGCTAACCACTTCAGAGCTTTAGCAATGCTATAGTTTTACACTTATCACAGATATGAGAGTTGAATCCCTCTTACTGTATATCTACCTACAAAGCAACTGAATAAAATACACTTGCCATTATATCTAATGTTAGTAATCACCTGGGTGTCCCTCACAAATGTACTGAAGTAGGGCAGGATTGCAAGAATGCAATACTGGCACAACTCTGTGAGTCTCAGGATTGGTGATAAACATCTCAAACCCACATCCCTGACATCACCACAGATCACATTGAATATTTGTGTGACGGTTTAAGCGGAAATATTTTTGTTTTTTTTAATTCATAAAGCCAGTTATTTATAGAAGGACTGTGAGTCATGCAAGTCACAGAAGTTACAAAAAGCCTTATCATTATCATTATATCATTATAAGGCGCTATTATCTTTTGTTTCAATCCAACCGTTTCTACTCTTCAGTCACATGTCAAGGCTGCAGTGGGATCACTATTCACACAGTCACAATGTTTTCATTTTTTCATTCACGGCTGTGTGTCGTTTTTTATTCCATCTTTAAACAAGCAGATGTACATTTCAGTACATATAACCTAGTAACCTAAAAGCTTATGATCTTACTGGATCAAAAAAACACATGTTAATTATTTTAAGGGTGTTTTTTAATGCTGTTGATGTGACCCCTGATGTGACCTTTTCTACAAATTTCCACACTGAAATTTTCCAATTTCCACACTCCGCCGCTGTCTACTGACTACAAATACCTAATTGATTAAACTTAGAAAATGTATTTTTGGAAATGTACCGATTGAACATATGATTATTTTTTCGTCTGTAATAAATATCATGTTACATATTTCTTTCTAAAACCTATCTTGGGAAAATAATCAGAAATGTTACATACTCAGGCCATTATGTAATCCAGTGGAGTTTAAGGTAAATGATTTACAGGATGCCATGGCATGTAAAACAATTTGTGGACATCATTGTCTATAACGTGCTTGTTATGCCCTAAAGGCAAAGGGCTCCACCCTGCCTTGCGAACATTCAGACTGCACATGGTTTAATAATACAAAGAAAATGACACCTCATACACACGCATACAAACACTTACTGGAAAAGAAATTTAAATCTTCTATAAACAGCAGGCAAGGTTATAGACAAGTTATTAAATATGAATCATCTTGGCACAGTGTGAAATGCATGTGAACAAAAGGCGATCTTTTTTCTCAAAAGGCCTAATTATGTTATTTAAGCTGACCTGTAATTCATTGTCATGGTCATTGAGTGGCAATTATGTTAAGTGCCTGTTAGTTCCTTGTTCTACTTTCCTTGTCATTGGCTATTTATAAGGAAATAATTGGCCTTTATTTAATCCTACAAAGATAAACTTCTTTCATTAAAGCTTAAGGCCACACTTTTTATCAGAGTGTACCTGGAGTTGAGGATGAATGGCTGCGGTGATGTTGCGTGTTTCACTGTCTCTTGGGTAGTCAATGTTTTTAACCATGGTGAACACCTCCACAAGTCCTCCTTCAAAAATAGTACCTTGAAAAAGAAGAAAACAAGCAAACATGGGATTTAAGAAAAAAAAGGGCTTCAACATTTGTTAATAGTGTAGCAAGGCCAAAAATACCCATTGTGGAACCTGAACTCATTTGCACCTGAGTTGAAGAAATGGATCCAATCCATCATGTGCTGCACGCCTAATTTCATCGCTGTATAGATGTTTGACCTCACCACCCCATGGGGTTGGGGGCCAATCTCCATGGCTGTAGAAAAAAATGAATTTTAGATGTCAAATATTGCAGATAATCAAGCGTTCAAATGCTTTGGACAAGTTGGTGTTCTGCTAAAAACTTACCAAAGCCGTGTTTTCCTACTGAATCAAGAGAATATGATTCTTTATTAGAGACGTCGAAATGGATGTACCTCATTGGTACGTCGGGCAGCTGCATCTAGAGTGACACATCAAACTGAACTTTAGATTTCAAGCATGGTCGAGTCAAATTAAGCCTTATCAAAAATATAGTACATTTCAAACAACTAGAGCTGTTTAAAATGCTTTGCTGACATAGGCAACAGAAAACAAGGTTAACATTCAGAAAAGTCATCATGTTCCCTGGCGGAAATCAAGATAAAAATATTCTTGATAGAGTCTAACAGAGTCTTTAAAGGCTGCATGCCATTTAATTTTATATGTGATATAGCTGCTACCAGTGGATTCCATGCTTACTAATGAAAGGGCCCAGTGGGATTATACATAGGGGAAAGAGTGCAGGCCCACAAACAGAGCCTTGAGGAACCACACAGCTGAAGGGGGCCCTGAAGGATAAAGTGGGCCCTGAAGGATAAAGTGTTCCTCGAACTAGAAATACCTAAAAGTTTTACTAGAACCAATTAGGAGCCATTTCCTGGAATCCCAGCAACTCATCATCATCATGGTTAGATTTTTAATATCAAATCTTTGTTTCTTGGAAGTTTATTGAACATGTGAGGTTTACTGATTTTTCTCTTGAATGTAAGTACTTGCCTGCAGGTATTTGAATATGTGCAGGCAGATCCAGTCACAGTCAGAGTATGCGATGAAGCACAATCCCATGTTGGCAGTGGTGTTGTGAAGGTCGCAAACAAGATCCACCGATTCACGAGTTCCTTTGGGACCCAGCAAGGCATTCAGATCTCTTGATCTGATCATTTCGTAGGGTGGCCTGTCTGACAAGGGACAACTGAGAGACAGAGAACAAATCAGCTTGCCAATCACCACACACAACATAACTGTTAGCATAAGCTCTGACTTCTTTCTTACTTAAGGATGGCATGGGTGAAACAGCGGTTCAAATCTGTGTCAACATATCTGCGGCAGAGCTGCACAGCCTTTGGGTTCCCCAGAACCATCAGCACTGACAGTGGTTTCTCCTCTTTTTCCTCCTTCAACGCCTGCTTCTTCGCTTTAAGCAGCTCTCTAACCAAGTACACCCCAGACAGCTCATTGCCATGGGTACCGCCACACACCGCGACCCGGGGCAACCTTGGCAAACACAGAACCTCCATCTGACTGAAAGCAGGCAGAGATACAGTGGAAAAAGTGGAGAGATTTTAAGTCATATGCCACAAAATATGCATCGTTTTTTTTCTCAAATCCTCCTGTCATTCTGTTCATACACTAATTGCATCACTTTTTGATCAGTATGAAGCTGAAGTATGAAGAATGATACCAAAAGAAACACATTTTCCCCTCTCTTTTTGTATGTATCAGTCACTCCAGTTTTGATTTCAATGGGTACATTGTAGATAACAGTGCAACACAGAGCAGAGATATTGATTTTTGTAACCTTACCTCGCCTTTCTGCTGTGCTGGAAAACTGTACAGGGGCAGTTCCGGGTTTAAACTTAATACAATTACTGTTCTCTAAAGCAGCTCTGAAATGAAAAGTCTCCTAACCGAAGAGGAAAGCTTGAGGGAAAACCGGCTGAAATTTCAGCTCGACATTCAAAAATAAGAGAGGAAATGAATGACGAAGCAACATACTGGGCATCTTACCCAGTCTACCCTTGCTGTTACCTTTCTCTTTCCTCTCCCCTACCGTTTACCCTCTTCCACCCTCTCCCAGGCTTTCATGCAGTTTCACTGATTCAGCATTCTCATCCCAGCCTCTGTGCAGGCTATAGCCGCCTGTTTTTGCAAACTCTCACCGTCTCTCTACCACCTCTTGTCCACTGCACTGTACCACACTGTATCGTAGGCAGGGTGTGTCCTGAGTGTGACGTGATGTATTGGTGGCTTCCCTCCATCCCAACAGCTGTGAGGTCCACAACTCCCTGTCTCTCTCTCTCAGCCCCATGTATAGGATGGTAGGTTCCAGTCTGCCTTTCAGACATTTGGCTGAAAATAAATCTGCTGGCATGACACAGCAAGAGAGGCGCCTGTGGTGTGTACAGTGAAAGAAAGAGTGTTTTTAATCAGCTTTTGCTTTAAAGAGTATACAGATTTAATCCTAAACTGTTTAATAAAAAGATACTACTTTTTCAGAATGGTCATAGCATTTTCTCCCTCTGACATGCGTTATTTATTTTTTAAAGTAGATTAATTTATTGGATATGTACAGTGTATGTATTTTTCTTCTGTTGTGTTATTTTGTGCCGCTTTGTACTGTAACCTGACAAGAATGGATTTTAGAGGCCAAAACAAACACCTATAAATAAATTGTTTATCACTAAAAATTCATTTTAAATTAACTTTAAAACAAATAAAACAATGTTTATTAAAGCTGCCTGACATTTTTTAAGGAACTATAAACGACATATACATTTTTGCAGGACACTTTAGCACCCTCACAGTTATGCTAGCACGTAGCTACATGGCAGCCACTATAGCAAAGTGTAAGGACTGCTAATGTTTGCTAATGTACAGTAAACCATAGACAGTAAACACACAATACAGCTAAGGCTCATGGGACATTTTTAAAGGGTAGTAGAAATTTCTACTTTTTACCAGACTATGGGAGTCAGCAAATAACCTGAAATACATAATTTAGAGGGTAATGTAAATGTTTGTAGAGTACTCAAGTGTTGATGTGTTAGCTTACAGTTACTTTTGCCTCTAATGCTTCAAGTCAATGATTTTTTTTTTCTCAATGTATACAAATTTTGTGGTACATTTTGGAATTTAACAAGAAGTCTGCTACATAGCAATAGGCTTTTTTGACAACTTTGTTTTTTTAGTAAGATTAACTACTGTACGCTGTATATGAATTGCAAAATCAATGATACCATTAATTAAGGGCGGGCATGTTTTGACAGATTTTAATCGACAGCTCATGTTGTCCCAATGGAAGCGCCTGTCCTCCCGTTATGTCAAAGAATCAATTAACTTGTATTCCCTTAATAATAACTGATGAATATGTTGGATCAATGGAAATAAACAAGCACAGTAATGAAAGCGTTTTTTTTGTTTGACATCACAGCATTTGTTTATTACAGATTATTTTTCTTTGTTAATACAAAATACTGAACAATGTCATGTCTCCCATCTGGGTTAAGTTTGGAAACTCCCTTTTTTCTCAAAATGAAGAAAGTCCTCTTCCATTAGTGCGAGAGGAACCCCAAAAAAAAAAAAAAAAAAAAAATCCTACCTTACAGTCATCAATACTATAATATGAATTTCTATACATTTATAAAATCATAGTTATTTGCGATGCTTCTTTGTTTCTTTATTCTTCATTTTTAAGTACACTTACAAACAAAATTATGAATATCACAAACAAGCGCGCACACACACACACGGGCGCACACACACACACACACACACACATTATATCCCATGTATTTGGTGTCAAAATGTACTTGCATAATGTATTAACACTTGTTTCTTTGCTCATATGAATGTGTTACCCTCAACACTATTAAACACGACACTGTTGAAAACCATTTTACTGCCATGATACTCCGTTATCCTCTGTGAAAAGACTAAACATTATTCCGATCCTGTGAAAAGGGATTGATTCGTTAACTGATAAATGTGCCATAATTAAGGAACAAGCTTTTTGGGGGCATTTTGCACCTTGTTTTTTTTTTTTACTATTTCCTCAAAGTTTCATTTTTTTGTACAACAAAAACAGCAATTAACGTCGGCGTCAAATCCACTCAGATGTGATCTTAATACAAGCATGAGCAGCTTGCTCATTTCTAAGGCGTAGAGAATAGGTGTGGGGGGGGTGGGGGGACTCTTAACTACAAAAAAATAACAGCATGGAGGTTTAACCATTATTTTCCACAATCGTTTGTTTCTTCTTTTTCTTTTTTTAACACAGTATACTGCACAAAGGCAGAGTAGTAAAGTGATGGAAGAGCAGATATGCATCATACACACGAGCACAGTAGAACCTTCACTTCATTACATTAAGACACTAAATCAGAGAGAAAAACAAGAAATCCTCGCTAAGGTCTTGAAGGCCACCAGTCGACAGTTCAATGAAATTATTCTAAACATATTTATATAGAAATGTATATATTACCAAGATCTTACCCCGTTTTTAGAGTTATAACCAAAGCACACAAAGCTGTGGATGACAATAAGAACACTACATTATCTCACATGGTGTTATCAGCATAAAAACCTCTTCTGCTCTTACTCAGAGAATGAACAAGACTTTCACTGAGCGGCTACTGTAGATTTTGGAAGCACTTCCCATTTCACCTTGTTGCCTGACCCGGGTCAAAGCAGCAGAACTTCAACAATTCATCTCAGATATGTGACAGCATTAAGGAGACAAGAACCAGAACAGGATTAAGGAGGCCCCACCTCCGGTTGCAGACAGCAGAGACCGTCCTGGAGATCTCTTAGAACAGAGAGCCACTGGAGGGAGCATGTGTGGTGGGTGACGAGCCTGGCCGTTGGTGGAAGCCGTCCACCAGGCGGCTTTGATGGATCAGTCTCTTCAGGGAACCTTGCAGTCGATGCTAAGGTCAAAATATATCAGGACAGCCTTCCCCAGCTGCCCCGGTCCTTGGCTTCCCAGTAGCCTCCCTTATAGATATGGACTGGCTCACCTGTGATGCGGTCCTCACAGCGCTCAAACCAAAGTGCCTGGTAGTTTTCATGAGGTGCGCCTAAAATAGAGGAAAAACTGTGTTAGAAGAAATAAAAGAAGACAATCTGGATAAAAGATTGGAGCATGAATCAAAATTAAAGGAGGAAGCTGTTGAAGAGCAAAAATAGGAGTACTTGCATTTTAAGGAGGGATCAGTAACAGAATCCTCCTCGACAGCTTTTGAAAGAGAAAAGAGGGATCACAGAGATTTTTTTTTTTACCCCTAAATTACAAAATTTCCCCCCATACAAGCAAAAGAGGACAAACATTAGCACAGGGTTGAGCCTCACCTTCTTCTGATTGGCTGGAGGTGCGTTGGCTGGCGGCCTCCCTCTCTCTCTCCCTCCGGACGCTGCGCTGCTTCTCCTCTAGCCGCTGCTTCTCCGAGTTGGCCTCGTCCCAGCGGCCCTCCTCCATTAGGCGTTGATCGGGCCGGCGCCGGCTGTCGGTGGGCGCCATGCCCTCCTCTAGCTCGTTCAGGGTCAGCGCCAGGGCAGTGAAGTAGTACATGGTCTCCGCTCCGTCGCTGTGGGAGGCAAATACAACAAAAGATGTTAGCTTATCTACATTACACGTGTATGCATGTACACGGCCTGTAATCTGTGCAACCTTTCCTCTGAGAAGGTTAAATATATATTTTAATCAATATTCTATTGTATAAGAATGCAACCTGAAGAAGAAGAAAGCATTAGTGCCAGGTGCCGGTGAGGCAGATGTGGTGATGTGAGATTCAGAACCAGAGAAAGATGGATAGACTTTATGTAGCTGTCGAAGAATTCGCTGTTGAACTCCACCGAAAGAATGAAAAAAATGAGGAAAAGTGAAAGTAAAACTAACACACCATAAGTCTACATACTTTGACATGAAATTAGAACTGGCAGAGTAGTGAAAAAGTAAAGATTATCTCTCTGCATACTGACAAAGGACGAGTGTGGGACAGCTAAAATCATACCGTGATCACCGGTTTTTCAGAGTTGATAATAACAGGGGGTGGTTATTCCGAAATCTGTATAATTGTCAGTGACTTCTGAAAAGAACATTCTTCTTGAATTGCACATCCTAGTACTGATAACACATCATGGAAACACTTCCTCAAAGAGCTACAGTCATGACTGAGGTATGACTGGTAGGGCAGGTAGGTGGAGGTGAATAACTCCTAACAAGTGAAGCTTTTACACCCTCTATAGACAGCACATAAATTCAGCATTCATCAAGGCAAGTTTACTTGTATAGCACATTTCAACAACAAGGCAATTCAAAGTGCTTTACACAAGACATCAAAAGCATCATGGCAGAGGAAAAAAGAAACATTATAATAGAACATTTAAAAACCAATTTAAAAACCAAATTAAAATGAAATTAATTGAAATAAATAAAGTAAAAATATAAAAAAGAGTTCAAAGTTACAGTGCAGAGTTAAAGTTTAAAATCTCATTAAAATTGTTTAATTAAAAGGCAGCAGTTCTACTTGGACAGTTTCCCCACAGGGTTTCTCTGACAGAATTATAACATCCATGTTGCTGCTTTATTAGAATTGAAAAGAATTAAAAAATTTAAAATTAAATTAAGAAATTATATTATTGTGTGACTCTGGCTTATTTCTATGTCTGAATGAAATCTTGTCAAATTCTTTGGTGAGTGTAAACCTCAAAAAATTAGATGTTTGCTGTAAACAATCTTTGTCATAGTTACCCCCCTATACCCCCTATAGTGATTCTTTCTACTTAAAAGTATTTTACAACATGCTGCTGTCTTTGGAGCGTCACATAGATCATTGCGTATTCCAGTGTTTTTTTTTTTTACATTTTTTGAAGGTTACATTAAGCAGAAAAAAAGTCTTCTTTCTGTGTTAATCAGCCTCATTGCAAAAACAGTGTCCAATTCACAAACACTGCACCAACAGTTAAGAGAGGAGCAGAAACTGTCTGCTGAGACTGTGGTAACAGAGATCATGTCACAGGCAAACTTCTAGTGATCAGAAAAACAATTCCCCCTCTGTATGACCTTAAAGTATCAGCATAATTAGTCTATAAATATGACTTTGACATTGGGTTAGCCATTGGCAGTTTTTGAACCTGAATATAATGAGCCACATGCTTTGTGAATTACACCTTGAGCAAATGATGAGCCATTAGCTGCTGAAATCCATGAATCACGCTTATAGTTTAGGATGATTTTTGTGATATGTGTCAGCCCCCCAACCTGCCAAATCCATCACCCAGGTACAGCGTCATGTAGGGGGAACCGCTGCGTACGCAAATGTTGTGAAATATTTAAATATTTGACTCAAATAGTTTCTGAATAAGAACCTGTTCCTCTCAGGAGAGGCAGACAAAACAACAACATCAACTAAACAAAGAGTCAAACGAGGTAAATATGTGTTCTTGTGCCAAGAATATTTTTAGATATTACGCATGACTCAGGTTTAATTACACACACACCCAGCCATGCGTTTACAGTACTTACGGAAGAGGGTTCCTCCTCCACACCTCTCTGGCTTTGAGGGTTTGATAGACCGTCTTCTGTTTGCCCTCTGTGCCGTTCTCCCCTCCGCGGCTGCTCTGCATCACCCGAGAAAACTCCATCTTCTCATCCCATGTGCCCGACAGCACGTAGTGGGCTTTGCCATCCTTATCCATTACAACGCCGGTCACCTTAAGAAAGACGAGTGAAGAGGGTTAACAGAGAAATGAAGCAGCACGATCCAGGCAGCCTCAGGGACCGGTGATGTGGTGTAGGGCGGAAAAGGGCAAATGAATGAACCGGGGATTGGTTTAAACTAACACAATTTAATATCAGAGAAGAGGAGTTTTCCCTTTAAATCGATCACACATAATTAAAAAAAACAAAAAACTATAAAAACTACCACATGGTCAAATATATAAAAGACTCCATAATAAGGAGCTGACAAACTGAGGAAGCACCGTCGGGAAAACATCAAAAGATCATCCAGAAATGTAAACTAGAATAAGCCAATATACGGATTTAAAAAAAAAGACCAAAAAGTAAAATAAATGAATAAATAAGGTTAAAAAAGAAATCGGTTCAAAGCCGGACTAAAATGGGCAGGTCTCAAATGTTGAAATGTGAAAATGTAAATACACAGAAACACTTAAGAGACTTCTCAGAGGCAACAACATGAAAAAGGAGAGAATGAGTTCATTGAGTTTGCTTTTTGTTTCTCACCTTCCTGGCCACGTCTCTGGAGAAGTAGCTGTAAGGAGCAAACTTCAAGTGGCAGCGGTCTCCGGTGGTGTGGTTCACCACGTCGATCTCCCCTGACTGACCGAGAGAGAGAAAGAAAGGGTTAAAAAAGAAAAACACTTTTTAGATTCACACAAATAAGAGCAACAATTTAAGTTAACGATCAACTGTACACTTTGATTGATTTGATTGATGATTGTGTGCATGAATAAAATACTAAGTGGTCAACCCTCATGGGTTTTTAAGACTCCAGAAATTCAGCTGCAGCGGCTCAACATTTCATAACATAACAAAGTTGCATGTTCCCTTCACAGTTCAGTCTTAAAGGGTTAATATATGTAGAATTGTTTCACCTAAACATTTAAATTGTTAAAAAATGACTTGACCTATGTTTTTATCTTTTTGGTGGTTGAGTGCGTAAATCTCTTCTAATATTTCCAACAGTTATCAAAGCCAGAGAAATCCCTCATTTTATAGTTGTAACAGGGCGCATGTTTGTTGTTGCTGTGGAAACAGCAGATGTTACGTCAAAGACCACTGCACAGGGAAGCGGGAGCTTCTACTGAAAGCTGCTGTTTATTTGTGCTGCTGTGATAAAAGACGTCATGATACTAGGATACATCGTCCTCAGGTCTGAGTCAATCGTTCGTCTTGACTACTAAGAGTTCATCAGGGGTTAGGGGTGGAGTAGCAGAGAGAATCCCTCCCATGATTCCCCACCAGCCTCAACATCATCTTTTGTTTCGATTGAGAGCCCTCTAGTGGCGGTATTCACACTGTGCCTTTATATAGTATATTTTGTCTTTTGTCCAAATGCTGCTCCAGAAAAAAAAGCTGTCCTCTGCTAAAGCAAAAGTTTTTCATAATCTAACCAGAAGAAATCAAAGGTAATGGAAGACATTTTTCTAAAAGAAAGGTACATCCTTTATGTTGTCATGGATGGGACAGTAAAACAGAAAAATAATCTCATCCTCAATATCACCTAACTCGACTCGGCCTCGACAACTATCCTTTATGGGACATTAAGCTCATAGTTTTGGTTTACACTATATATCAACTTTGATATGTAAGTCACTGAAGTATTTTTAATCCTATTACTCCCCTACACAACAGTATATGTAAAGAAACTCTGGAGTGTATTCTTTAGTGCAGCTTTTAGGTGGGTGGTGTGAGTTAATAATGTTTAAAGATGTACGGTGACGTTTCAGAATGTCGCAAATTCTATTGCAAAATTTCAAGTTCCACACACAGTAGTGAGTAAATATTGAAGGCGCTGCATCTGAGCAGTGTGTCGGTGACATTCAGGATGGTTTGAATAGCTGCATTGTCTCTCTGTCCCCATGTCATCTGATATCATGTTTTCTGTTACTAACACCACACCGCCTGTCATGTTTTCACAACGTTTCACTCTGAACATTCTTTTCAAAAAGGTATCCTCGTTACAAATGTGTCCCTGAGGCACTACATTTGCCACTGTGAGTAATATTTGTGGTTGTTGCCTGACGCAAACGCTGGATTTACAAGCTTAGTTGATAATAAATAAATTAATAAACGGCAATAGGAGTGCTTATAATCTGTGATGAAAAGTTTTAATCGAACCACTTATATTCGCTTTAAATACACTCAGGCAGACTGGCTGTCACATGGTTTGCAGCAGACCGTGTAACTACTGCTTTAGGGTTTAAATCTGGCAGAGACGTTTATTGTTTGTCTATGTTCTGTCTCCACCCTGTTTCTGAGTCTTTGAGTTAGACATAGGATTAAAAAAATTATAATAATTAAAGGCTTTTGTATTCAGAGCACATATAAGTTTCTAAAGGTCTGGGGTGTTAATAAAAAAAATTGGGGTTTTGAAGGTGTCACTGTGTTCAAACTGTCAGTCCCACCTGGTCGATCCACAGTTTTCCGACGATGATGTTGTGCACCGTGGTGGTGACTTTCTTCCATGTGTAGTGATTGTTGCCTTTCTCGAAGATTGCGTGAATTGTGCCTGCCAACAAAGATGATATGCAAACAAGGGATGATCATCATAACCAACTAAGCAAACAAAGCCTCGCTTGGTTTCCCATGTAGTTAACTTTTTGTTAAGTCAAAGGCGTGACTGCTGCATTCTTCCAGCTGTACTCACTTGTATTTAATAAAGAACACTGTAATCATTGGTTTGTGCACCTTGTGTTCATCCACAGGAAATAAGTCTAAAGTTAGAAACACACCCTCATGTACATAATCAGCGGATCGCCAGGCATGCTTTCTATGTCCTAAACCACATGGACTCTTACCTAAGGGCATGATGGAGAGGTATTTTCCCCTGAACTTGCTGGCAACAGTGATTTCCTGCCTCAGAGTCCAGCCCCGATCAGAGATCACATGATGCGCTGCTGCAGGAGGGTGATGACTCACCTGTGAGGGAAGGTAAAGACGACATGTTGCATGTCATTTCACGTCAAACAGGTACATAACTGGTGGTCATTGAGCCTCTTTCTGTAGCCCTCTCGCACTCATGACCCACTTTCAGTGTGAAGTGGACAATGACAGAGCAGCCTAGTATTAAAATTAAACCCTGTTATTATGTAGCAGGTAATTAAAACTACTATAAATCCAATTATATTACTCATCTACAATAACATTTAATGGTAATTACTACTTGCTAAATCCAATTTAAAGCGCTTTGTGACTCATCTGACCCAGTCCTTTAAAGCTCTTGCTCTAAATACAGCCATGTCCGAAGCTGCCTGCTGAGCAGATTTGCTGGCTTAAAGAAGATATTAGTCAGGTTTTTATTCGACTTCATGTATTTTTCCCGCCTAATGAATAAAAGCATTACTGTGTTTCTTGTTTTGCAACATTAAAACTCCTTTTTTGACACACCTAAAAAAAAAAAAAGCCCAACATTGTCTTTTCACCTTAACTGTGTGTTCAAGTACCACGTCTCTTTTTACCCTGAGGTGTAATACACTGACCTTCTCTTGAGGAAACTAGTTCATACTCATGGATGTGACTTTCTTGACACATTGAGGTCCAGAACAATTATTAGAACACAAAGGAGACAATGACTGCTGAGTCAATGGAGTTTCACTTCCTTAACAGAATCCTTCAGTCTCTATGACTTGCTTCCCCACCCTCACCTGCTCGCAGAGGGAGCGGTAGCCACTCTCTCTCCGGCGGTCCAGCTCGTACGTCTCTCCCAGCAGAGGGTTGAAGGGCTTGCCGGTGCGGTGGACGGTGGTGGAGTAGGAGGACACGGAGAAGGCGGCCACGTAGCACATTTGCTCGAGGGAACTCTGGCACTTGGCGGCCTTGTCGAGCAGCTCGTGGTACTCGAGGTCCTCCGACAGCCGCTGCAGCATGGATATGGGCTCGTTGAAGTTCACCTGCCAGGAGCAGAATCACTCAAATGTCATTTGATGTCAGACATTTCTTATTGCGATGCCATTACATTTTCCCCATTGTGGGATAAATAAAGGATTATCTAATCTTATTAAAGTTATTTTATCCGTAAAAGGGATCGTGTGCGATATTAATCATAAATGTTGCCACTTGGTTTAGTTATCGTACATATTATCTAATTTTCATCTGCCCTCCTTTAGCACGTCATGGAAAAAAAAGGAACACTTATAAAACAGCACCCAATAATCAAAACAACATACCACAACGAAGCACAGTGCATCACAAACACACACACTCTCACACCAGCAACCACATTCAAGAGAGGAGGATCTTTCAACTGCTTTGAGCTGCAGATAGAATTATCAAAAACATTTCAAACTATGTCAACCTTTCTCAAAAGTGTTAATATTACAGGAGCAAAGGCAGAAGCAGCAGACAATCTACATGTGTTTAAGGGGTTACGTACCAGCACAGGTACAAAACTAGTCAATACTAATGAATTCATTTGTTTAAAGTGAGATGCAGTTTTTTGGTTTTCAAGCCTTGTTGCAGCCACCATTTTAAAAGTGATGTTTACCAGCCTATTCAAGGAACTCTGCATCTGCCATCGTTTCATTTAGACTCTTTTTTTTCTTTATTAGGATCCCCATTAGCACCAGCATACGCATTGGCTGTTCTTCCTGAAGTCCAGCACACATACAGTCATGCTCACTTCTACACAGCACAGACGGCAAGACCAGCTCCTCCAAAAGAATGAAAATGAATACAGAAGAAAGTCTTAAAAATTCAGACTTGATTTTTCCTTCAGACATACAAATAATATAATATACATATTCATAAATTCTGATTAGGGCCTGACTGATAAATCAGCCAGCTGATAATATCGTCCGACACTAGCTTATCCAGTGACTATTGGTATCAGCTCATTTTTCCGTAGATATGCGCCGATGGTACTGGATTTAATCAGTAGTTAAACAGCATTTCATTTGAGCATCGTTGTATCACACTAACAGTTCACAGGCTGTTATCAGCAGAATGTTCTATATGGATTACAACAAACATTATCACTCTCCAGAGTGTCACACGCTGATGCACATACATCAGCGCAGTAGCTTTCCAGTTGAGTGACCATCTTGTCGTATATCTATATCTGTCTATCTCTACAGATACAAAACAGATCTAAGAAAGATATTTGCAGATATTTTGGTATCTGATTTTTTTTTTCCTCCCCGATATCGGCCCCAAAAATCCCACATCAGTTGGGCCATACTTTTGATAACAAATGATTGTCTGAATGACCTTTATAACTACATCTCTAACCGTGCCGTGTTCACAGACATTAATCCAAGAAAAAGGGAGACTACACACATTTCACCCTTTGCCAAACAGGACTATTTTGCTTTCATCCAAATGTACACCTTGTTTTATACTCAATGTTCTGTCACAGTTTAATGTTTGATTATAGTTGATTAAATTGACATTTAACTATTTTTAAACACATCACAGATTTTTTTTTTTTTTTCTAAGAGTATTAGATGCCAAGCAGGACATCGGTGTGTGAAAATTAACCTGTCAGCGCCTCCTAGTGGACAAACCATGCCAGGACACAGCATTTCTGTACTACCTCAAACAGTTCAGCCTTTTCTGCACTGATAAGACAGGTTACTCTCTGATATATAATATCAGATATAATGTGTACTTTGATTATTGTAGTGGGAGTAAAATCATTATGCGTATATACTGTATAACTCAGCAGAGGGACAGTAGTTCTTGTAGTCATAATTTACACTTTATGGAGGATTTTTAAGATTTTAAAGAAAGTGTTTATCCAGCACTTTACAACTTGTTTTTCTAATGTTCTACATTTTTTTTTGTTTAACAGTTCTTATTGGGTTTTCAATTAGCAACATCAATGTACATTTGTTTGCAACATACACTGCAAATATTCATTTGCACATATTTAGCACAATGGAATTAATGTTCTACATTTTTGATATATATGTATATTTTATCTGGGATTTGGTCTTTGCATGTTCAGGTCCCAGGTTGAGCTGAATCTGTGTATGCTGCTTTGGCTTTGTTTGCTGAGTGATGTGCAGCTTTTGGTTTCGACAGACTGAAGCCAACCAAAACAGGACAGCAGGAATGTGAGATAAATATGAACTGTTGTTATAGACTATCTTAGTATTTCTGCTGTGTAAATGCAGTCGACAGGTCTGGTAGAAGTGCCACCGTATATCTACAGAGCTCGACCTGCGTGCTAGAGCAGATTTAGTGTGTTGATTGAGATATCCTTTCTAAATAAAAAGAAACCTGCATAAAGGTCAGAGGCGTGTATCTAGGGTTTGTCTCTGAGGTTTACCGAGTAAACAAACTGTCTTTGTACTCATCGTGGATGACAACAGAGATATTTTTACCTCCGGTGACTCTTGAGGAATGCTGTCAAACTCGTACTGAGGACATGAAAATGATTGGTGTTTTGATTGAACCCGGGCCATCTGATGACATTCGTGTCAGAAGAATGTGACCTTAAATCCCTGCGGTTATCTTATTAAATAGCAAATACATCTTTTGTTTGCAGCCACACAAAGACATGAAAAGAGCAGCCAAGCGCTGACAGAAGAGGCTGTGAAAAGCCCTTTATATGCTGGCAACGACCGCATGAGTGTTAAGTAACCACCGCACAGATACTCACAGGCATGGGAATCTTGGACAGCTCTTTGCCGATGCAGTTCTTCATGATGCTCCAAAGGTTGAGAGAGTAGTTGGGTTTGTCGGAGATGCGCGTCCGCCTCTTCTTTAAGGGTACTAAGTCCTGAGACGGGGATTCCTGGTTCATCGCTAGGGGTTCCTCGTTGAGCTAAAAGCAAAGGCAGGAGAGTCTATAAATACGGGGCTACACCGCTCTTAGAAAGAATGACCCATAACCACTATAGCACTTCTAGTTTTAAGAATCCAATTCATAACAAATGTATTCTCAAGACACTTTAGGTACAGACCCTTCTGTTTGTTATACTATTTACAGAGGCTCAAGTTAGATAGTGTGCAGGAGTTTGCTTGCATATTATAAAGTTATATTATATTTCAAGTCTTAAGTCCTACAAGCAAGCTGCAGATTTACAAGAAAACTTTCGAAAAAAAGAATGTAAAGCAAACAATGGTTGGCAACATTTTGACAGGGCTTCTCGCGCAGTTTAGTTTACTGCAACGGTCTGATCAAGGGGCTTCTTTCAAAACAAAAATAAGACATTAATCCAGTTCTTAAATCAGCACACTGGCTACCTGTTATTCAAAGGCTTGATTTTTTTTAATGTTTCAGCTTGTGTTTAAATGTGCACTTTGAAGACTTGGTGGTGAAATTTGAAGAAGTGAAACAATTCTATGCTCTATTTTCTGAACTGAATACACAAACCTTATTCGAATGAAAAATGGGTCCCTGGAACACTGTTTGGAGCTAAAAAGCTACAAGGAGAGTTACAGTTTCAACTTTTTATCTTCACACAAGAGTTCCAGGGACCAAATTTTCCTCTGTCGACAGTTTGTGTATAGAGTTACGAACATAAACCACATAATCTGTACATTTCTCCAACCCGTGCTTGTGACATTTGAACCATCCAGGACTCTGTGGACATTTGGGGCTTGCCTATTGGCTGCCCCAAATGTTAGAAAAGAAACACAGTGAAATCAGCATGGACCTGTGCGGAAAGATTTTAAAGCTTTTTTAAAACTCCCTTGAAGCTGGTGCAACGGCTATTAAAGGCACAGTCCACCTCAATATTTTCCATTTTCAAGACTTTTTTTTTTTAACACTACATGCTCTACCTTCTAACCGCTACAAACTCATTTTGAAACACTTTCATTGAATTTCACTATGCACTTTTGTCATTTCTATTCATTTAAAAACCTTTAACTTCAGCTCTTATGAATTGAATATCTTTGATTTTCATTCTATTTCATTCATGTGTAAAGCATGCTGAAATGCTTCGGTGTATGAAAAGTGTCTCATTAGACACTTACCGACTGATCATCAGGACACATTTCACTGTTGAAGCCGCTGATGTTACTGCTTGATCTTCTGCAAGAGATTCAAATAAAGGGATTCTGTCAGGGTCGAGGAGATTTTTTAGGTGAAATAAAAAGCCAAAATCCAGACACAAGTAAATGGAATATAGAGCGATAAATCTGTCAACAATTAAATCGGTCTAGAGCACAGATAAAGAGAACAAAAATCATACAAGGAACACTAATGATGACACAGCACTCAAGCCTAAAAACATTTTTCCTTCTAAGAGTGGCATATGAATTGGTAAATATGTGCTTGTGGGCTGAATTTGAGAGCACTGACTTGTGGAACTGTGGGTCTGCAGGTACGGTGATGAACTCAGGTGCCTCCTCCATGGCATCAAAGAACTCATTGTCGTCATCTTCATCGCTGGCTTCACCTTTTCCTGGACCCGCAGCACCTTAACAATGAAACAATGATTGTGAAACCTGAATTACAAGTAATAAATTACGCTCTCTCGCTGGCAAGTGTGATTCTCTCATCAATCTGTCTGGATACGAAACCAGTCAGAGTTATTATAACTATTTCCCTCTAAGTGCCTCTTAGGTAATGTTTTACGTTTTGAGGTCACGTCCTACTTTTATTGTCTGCAGTAGAGTTCGCCTGTGAAGCCCCTCTGAACGCTCGCTCCAGGTTGTTGTGCTGCTTGGCCAGCTGCTCTAAAGTCTCCTCCAGCCGAACCCGCTGATCCCTTTCTGCCTGAAGGGCTTTCTGCCACCGCTTGCTGTGAGCCTGAGCCAGTGCGAGGAAGTCACGACACGCCTGAGGGGGCAACACATTATACGGGGTGAAGCAGAACACCCCCCAACCGCCGAGAGCCAAGTCATATCAACTTTTTATGACCCGCTAAGACCAACTTTTGCTGCTACAAGACACACGAGAGGAGGTCAAACTTACATTAATCATGGCGTTAGAGGTAATACGGAACAGTGTGGCCCTCTCCGTCACCTGACGAATCTTGTCCCCAGCCTCTCCCGTCAGACGCAAACTGTCCAATTCTGATAAAGACCTGAAAGAGATATTGAAATGAACAAGGTGGGTTAACAGTTAACAAAAACAAAACTGATCAATCAATGAGGCCTAGTTTTAGGCAAGACTCAGAAATATGGTTTCTCTATCTCTTTATTTTATTTATCAGTGTTCTTATATGCTTTTGATGTTTCTTATGTCTCTAGCAGTGCTCTCAAGTATTCACATTTGGCGCGATTGTCTCATACTGTGCCCGAGCATGATTCCTCCCCCTCCCCTCTCCCCCGCTGGTCTGCGTTCACATCAGTAATATCCATGCGTATGTACACAGTCTGATACAGCAGGTGGCAGTGTGCACACAGCTGGTTTGCAAATCGGCAAAGAAGCAAAAAAGAAGCAGCAGCAACCATGGCAACCACTCGCAGACTGAGTCCAAACTGCAAACTCTGGATATTTTGGTTATTTTTTTCTATGACGCAAACTTCAACCCTCTTCCTACGTCCGCAGGCCCCTGCTGCACGGGTACAGCGGATATTGAAGCGAAAGGAGCCGTTTAGAATGATGTCATATTGCGGTCCGAGTACACATGAATCATGCCAAAGTCCACCTTTTCCAGTGTTCTTTAGAAGCTTTTTATTTATTTTTCAGGTTTTTTTCTTCTCTTTTAAGTCCCAGTGCAGCACTTTTATAAAGTTTCACATTTTATTAATGTGCTATATATAAAAAGTGGATTGGACTGTATTAAGTATCAAGTAAGTTTTACACAAGCAATGTTTTCATGAGTAATTAACAGATAAATAATGTTAGAGTAGTTGAGATCATAGTTTTAATCCTACTGAAGAGAAGATTAAAGAGAAGATTAAAAACTATTCTCTAACAGTGTTACAAAGCTAGTTTAACATTTAAATTACATTCATCTACATGCTTCTTTAACAAATGGTGCCTCTCCTATCTCAGCGAAAGACAAAAAGCCTTAAAATGACAATCTATAAAAAGGTTTTTTTTTTAAATTAAGGTATGATTATTCTCTCAAATGGATTTATGAGCATCTTTGAGTCTTGGGTTCTAGATTTCTAAGTAATAATACCAGACATGAGAACATTTTAAGCTTCAGGGCTAGAGAGTGCAGCAAACAGAGAGCAATAGACTGGTAAAGCCTGACCTCTGGAGGGCAGAGCCGTGCTTTGAGATCAGGTCATTGCACGTGCTGAGATCCTCCACTTTGCTTCCAAGTGTTCTCAGAGCAGACTGGACCTCTGAGTTCTGTGATGCGCTGCCTTGTCCCGGTGCTGCTGGCGCGGACGATGGAGGAAAGTCGTCCCCTGAGTCGTCTGGTAATAAACAAAGCAACAAAAAAAAAAAAAAAAAGCTTTAAATGATTACTGAGAAAAAAATAACGTAAGACAGAGGAAAAAATTCCAGAGCAAAACTGTTTCTACTTTTTTTCTCTTCTACTGTTGGTCTGTTTTTTTTTGTTTTTTTTCACCTGACTCGGCCTGCATGCGAGCCGCCTTGGCTTTGGCCAGTTCCAGGGCAGTGATCCAGCGCTGACGTTCCACCTCACAGCTGGCCTTCAGGTGGTACGTTTGTGCCCCACCGTTGGAGATAACAAAGTTGCAGGCGTCATCCACGGTGATAGTCGCTGTGGCCAGGTTGATCGTGCCTCGACACGTGTGGCCCATCTCTGCCTGAGTCCTGATAATGAAGAGGTGAAAATGCAATTTAACTGCATTAAAATGCCTTGCTGGAATGAATCAGTACACTACAAATGAACAGTGCTAATGAGATGCATTGTTATGTACAGAGTAAACGGCTAACAACATACAGAAACAACTGTAATGGTGATAAATCAAGCAAATCCGTGGACATCTACAGCTTAATTTAGAGCTCTTGTCCTATGATTTGATGACCCAGGCCAGGATACACATCAGTGTTACATGTGAACAGGCCCATCAAGATTCTTTCTGTCCTGCTAAGGGGCTTGATTTGTGTTCCATGTGATTATAATATGAGGAAACATTGCAACTATAATGGGAAAGATCTAATAATAAATTCACTCAGTTATCAGCTCTGGGTGTAATTCAATAGTTGTTACCATCTACATAAAGCGGAGATTATTTTCTGCCAATGATCAAGAGTATACACGTAGTTAAATGTATCAGTTTTACAGGAAAGTGTACCTGTAGTATGACAACAGCCCATTGCTCAGGACAAACCACCTCCGCTGATAACCCTTGATGTAGTTTGTCCACTTGAACACCCATCCTTTGTATGTGTCACCAGCAGGAGTGGGTGTTGGGGTTTTGGGCTCCGACATCACAGCCTCCAAAAACAGGAGACCGATTTGGGGAACCTTAAAAAGGGAAATAGAAGTTCGAAACGTTACGCAACTAAGCTGTAATTTGCAGAGAGGATCAAAATCAGGGATCCCACACAGTCAGCAACTTTCTGACTATCGAATCTTTTCACAAGTTAAAGCACAGAAATAACTCACAATCAATACTTAAAGCCTCGTATGTATGCATTTCTGATGTACTTTAAGTCTCATACAAAAAAAAACAACAACACTAACATAAGACTTTAGACTGCTGGTTGGACAAATCCCCAATACATTTCATGATTAATCCAGAAAACATTCTACAGAATAATTTATGAAAACTGAAAAATACATATTTTCAACAACATAACTAGGGTTTCTAAAATGTTTTGAACATTTGATTTTTTTTTTATTCCTGAACTCTAATGTTATTTATGGCTGCTGTTCATATTGATCGCTCAGTGTGGTGTGACAGGTCAAAGTTCAACAGTGGAATCAATAATTACTCATTTTACAAACAAAACTACTCTTCAAGTTGGCGTGAAATATGTCCAAATTATATTACAACATAATAGTTGTTTTCCTAATTCTGCATATAATAAAAGTGACAGATTGACACAGGTTAAATTAGAAAAAGATGGTGACCTTTATGAGAAAAATGTAACACTTAGCCTTATTATTAATAAAATAAAATAAATCAGATTAACAACTAAAAAAAATAAATCACACAGAGTAGTGACGTGCTAACAGAAGCTAATGGTTAGCTCCAGTGTGAGTTGATAATGACAGGTCGCTGCTACAACAGGAAAGTAAAAAGAAACACTGACATGTTCACTCAGAGTTTACCAGCTGACATCAGAATATAAACAACAAGTTGTGGGGAAAACACACACACACACACACACACCGCAGATCACTCCGTTAGCCCGGCAAGCTAAGCCTTGCTACACGCACGAAGGCTAAATGTTTACCTTGACGTGTCCGAAATGTTAAGATCAAGCGACCAGACAACTGGGGGAGTCACTGCTAACTTTGACACCCATACGCCGCTGTGCCTAGTTAGCTAAAGAGGCTAACTGAGCTATGTGACCAACACGGAAGAGATAATAAAAGAAAAACAATCGAAGCAGCGACGTTGACGATAAAAGCAGAGCGACTGTACATTCAAGTGACACCAAAGAGTTTCTTTAGCGACCCTCAGTGCATTTAAGTGTCAATCATAAAGCTGCGTACGCTGACAAGAAACTACAGCTAGCTAGCTACACCTAACTAGCCTAACGTTAGCTTGTTGGTTACACCCGGTGCCACACTAATTTGGTGTCGTGTAGAAACAACCAGCCAGGTTCCTTTACTGTCTGCATCAAGTCGGGCGCTCGGCCACACACACACACACACACAAAAAAAAGAGATTTTGCCTTGAAAAATAATGGTACATTGTGTCAGAAAATTGTCACACAGTAAACATTATTTCGGACGTCGAAATCCAATTTTCTTTATTTACTTTTTATTTATTCTGAAAATAACTAAATGCATCCACTTGTTGTTCACTTAATTACAGACTGTCAGTAAATATCCTGTGATTGCTGTTACTTCATTTCATTCTGTAATTTGTGTCCATATAATATGTTTTATTTGGAAGGATATAATGCAAAAACCCATTGGTCGTATTTTACTAACTTGACAAAATTAGTTTATTTTTTTTACTATTTTACTTTCCAGCTATGTGTTAGACACATTATGCCATACAGTTTCATTAATTGACTACAAGATTAAATTAAAATACTTTAAAGTACGTTCACTGGAGATAGAAGCTTGCATTAACGATGGCTCTCGATAACATGGCGAGCATTTAAAAAATGAAGTCAAAGTTTAACCGCGTAATCTGTTAGGCTAATGTTTTGTTTGTTTAACATGAGCCTGTGTAAATCCAGTCTGTTCAAGAAACAACTAGAGGACGATGACTTTAACGATTTGTAATTGCAAAATATATCTAACAAGTCAGACAAAAAACTCGACTCCGGTGGGACTCGAACCCACAACCTTTGAATCACTTCGCAATTCAATGCCTAGAAGTCCAATGCGCTATCCATTGCGCCACGGAGCCACCTGTTGAATATCTGGCATTCGTTACTATTTGAATTCGTCAATAGGTTAATATGTCAATATGTTTCTTAATATGTTTTTTATAGTATCGATCCTGTTACATGGTCATTCAACCCACTAACCAAAAACTAGATCGATATCGGTCACAGATACTAAATAAACTTGCATATATATATATATTTAACACTAGGTGGCGCCAAATAGTTAAGCAACATGTACAGGCTGTACACCGTTGAGACTGGAGTTCGATTCCCTGTTACTACCGAAAAAAATGCAAATAAATATATTATCGTATTGTATTTCATTGTACTGACCACAATGAGCCATGATTATTACAAAATAATAATAATACAAAACAGTTTTATTTGTGTACATTTCATGTGATTGCTTGTCAAAAGAAACTCGGTAACAATAGATGATTACTTCACACACCTTAGCCTGAAGCTAAAACAAGAGAGTATGCCACCCAAAGTATGCTTTTAGTTGTGTTTGCTGCAGCAGACCAAAGAACCGTGATAGTGATAATATTTACAGTCCATGGACACTCGTTTAAATATCGAGTGTATTATTTTAGGATTTGGACTTTGCATAAGGAGTTGCCGTATGTACTCCAGATAAAGCATTGGTCCAGTATAGTGTTCTGCTGTTTCAGCCCCGTTGTAAACTCATCACACTTTGCAAAAGTCGTCACATGACTTAGAGATATTCAGGTATATGCAAATTAAAAACACTGTTCCACTGTTTAACACATGCTCAGTGCGGACCTGACACTGAAAAACGAATGACTGCTGTTGTTTTGTCTATTTCTTTTTTAACGTCAGAACTCGACAAAACCATTGAAAAAAGTATGCAAATTAAAAACAAAGTGCCTCTATTTCACGCATGCGCGGTGGGGTAAAACCGGACATTGACAAATTAATGGCTGGTTCTTTATTTAGTTACTTTGTTGCTTGAGGCCGACTCAACATTTCATCCTCCAGTTCAGTTTAAAAAAAAAAAAAACTATTTTTGCATGTGCACATCACCCTGTCGAGAGAGGACAGGAATCTGGATGTAAACGGAGGATATCCCTCTTGATTCCTGCGTGTCTTTGATACATCCTGCCATGAGCGGAAGTGTCTGGGATTCTGCTCAATCCACATCGCTACAAATCAGTCGATCGTAAAGGGAGACGGGGTGGGAACGGTGTGCATCTCTTCCCACACCATCACCATTAGACAGGCTGCCTTACAGCATTTAATGCACACGTAGTTTGGTACGGGGACATGCTCCACCAGGTCAGGCTTTTACTACTACAGACATGCGTAGTTAGTCCGCGGGGATAGAGGCTAATTTCGCCGTAATTCGACTGGGTCTTTATTTCTAATGGACGTAGTTTTGTTATAGGTCTGCGCAATCGACGTGAACGCCTGCCTGGACACCGGAGAGGATTAAGTTACTGTTGCTGGCGGCGGATTATTTTATTGGCCTCCTCCTGTCACGCCCGACTCTTTTGGTGATCCTTCCTCCCAAATTGTAGAGCAAAAGCCAGGTAAGATAGGTAGACTATTTATTCATTATAACCTTCCCCATCCGCGTGATATGTCTGGTGCTGTGCCTGCGATGTATAACGTGTTAATACTCGTCCTTTGTTGCTCGTGTCTGCAACGCAAGTTACTCTTTGCAAAGATAATTCCTTTGCATTGTGTGCAGACAACAAAAGAAATCCCACCAGAAATAGTTTAATTGTTGTGTATTTTAAATAAAACTGCTGGTAAGAAAAAAAACATTATTATACATTAGGGGGACATTATGTGAAACCACAGTTCTAAATACCGATGGATGTGTTTTAAGGCTTGGGCTATTACGATTCAGAACTGCACACATGTTAAGGCAGTTTAATCCTCACAGGCGACTGGAAACAATGCAGACTGTGGCCAGCATACCTGCTGAAATACAATTTGCTTTTACAACTGTGAAGCATTAGGTAGACGGCATAGAGTTACTGGTCCCCCTGCCTCAGCAGCTCGGACTTGACTGCCCAACCCCCTTCCCCTCTTTGCCACAGCATGTTTTGGTCTCAGGCGGATCATGCCCTTTTGTCCACTGAAGCCTGACTGTACTTTTCGGGACAGAGTCCCACTATGAAAGAATTTGCCTGCTGTTTGGACAGCCCCTTTTCTCTTTCACTGTCAGCTTCGAAGTTGGGGATTCACTGAATAATTGTGAAACAAGTAACACACATGAATGATATTCTAAATGTACTAAAGTTTTATATTTGATCATTTCAGCGTAGATTAGCTCGCTCTCATTCAGTCACACTGTCACTCAAATAAGGAGAAACTTTGTCTTCTTGTTTCTACCCCCACTCGTCATTTATTTCTCTCCCATGTTTCCTGTTTTTCTCCACAGATATGTCTTTCCGGCGAGGTGTGGTCCGGCAGAGCAAATTCCGCCACGTCTTTGCCCAGGCGTGGAAAGCCGAGCACTGCATCGATGATGTCAGAGTATCCCGGGTGACCTGGGACAATCCCCTCTGCGCGGTCAACCCCAAATTCGTCGCCGTTATCATTGAAGCCGGCGGAGGAGGGGCCTTCCTTGTTCTTCCGCTCAGCAAGGTCTCAAAAGCTCCCCGCATCACAACAATAATCATATACACAGTAGATCAATATTTTTGAAAGCCTCCATCTTATTTCCTGTCTTTCAATCCGCTGCTAAAAGCAATACATCAGCAGGTCTTTGAGGCCTCACGTCTAGCTCATGTACAAGTGCACGCTTATACTTTCAAACACGTAGAGGACAAAGTTTAATCTCATTTTAATGTGTTCATGTTTCCCCAGCCGGCTTTTACAGTGTCATGGTTTTAACGTTTCAATGTTTTCCATTTCAGAGCGGCAGAATCGATCAGTCCTGTCCCACTGTGTGCGGCCATGCAGCGCCAGTGCTGGACATCCAGTGGTCTCCTCATGACGACAACATCATTGCAAGTGCCTCCGAGGACTACACAGTAAAGGTTGTTGCACAGATGTCTAGTTGTTTGCTGTTTATCACTTATTGTTGTCAGCAGCTGTCACATAAAACACTGACACGGTCGCTCACATTAACTGGGTCTCAACACCTACTGAGACTTTCTCACTTCTCTGGTATCTCTACCGCTTGATGTAGCCGTAATGCTACTTCAAAGCCATTTTTCTTTAAGTGCTTCTCTGTTGCCGAATCTGAAAACATGTAAAGCAGAAGTTTTAAGAAATAAACTTAGTCTCTTTATTGCCTACAGATATATTAAGATGACTCCACTCGTATGTCTCTTTAGGAAACTACAGCTACAATTCAATTAGCTTAGCCAAGAACAAAAGTGGTAGGAGGGGAAAAAGCTAGCGTAGCTGTTTCCACCCTGTTAGCGTCTGTCAAGCTCATTGCTAAACATGGTTATTGTGTACTCATGCCAAAGTGTCAAGAAACGATTTTTGTTCTGTTTTTTTTTCTACGATGCTAGCAAGTCAAGCTAGCTAGTTCCCCTCCTGATTCTTGGTTTAAAGCTAAACTAAGCTAACCTTCTTCTTAAGCTTAAAGTTTAATACTAAGCAGATAGACACCAGAGTGGTATTAAATCTTTTTATCTTTCCCTCAGCTAAAAAGCTAATTAGCACACTTCTAAAAAAGAACAAGTGCTTGTTCTTTAAGGTACAGAAAGGAGAAGAAACCCAATTCAAGTCAAAGAAACAAAACCCTCAATAGTAAAGATGGCTTTTGTACAACACAGACTAGTTCCAAAGTCACTGTCTTTAAATTTAGATTAAAACTATGAAGGACAGAAGTGTAACTTGAATGTACATATACATTAAGTGTATAATTTAAGAGAGTTACTCTTCTGTACCTTATCGTACATCGCAAATGATTTAAAGAACAAATGTCTGCTGTGTGTTGTTGTTTGAAGGTGTGGCAGATACCAGATGGGGGCCTCACGGTTCCGATGACTGAGGCCATTGTGACCCTCGAGGGACACAGTAAAAGAGTTGGAATCCTGGCTTGGCACCCTACCGCCTTCAATATCCTATTGACTGCAGGTAAAGGCATTTATGGTGTCCTGTGATTGGTTGATGGTGGGGGGGGGGGGGGGGGGCTCCTGATCTTGGGTTTTGTATGGCAAATGATCCCCCAGCCGAGAGCCATGTTCCCATTTAGGCAAATTCCTATGGCAAACATGGCTGCAAACAAACATTTAATGAATACTT